TGCAAACAAAATAGATACTTACTCAACTTCTTTAGGTTCTGGGATTGCAGCCGTACTGTTAGCATGTAGTCGTCCTTTCTTCTCATTCCTAATRAAATACAACAAGATCAAAGTCAAACTTAATTCTCATCACCTTTATTTTATAATCAAGGTTTACTTGGTTCMAGTTGCAATGCAAGACAGAGGCAGATAAGAAACAAAGCTTTCACAACTACAGAGAAGTCTGGCCTTCAAGAATTGCCCTTTTTGCAGTTAGAGAACAAGTTGTACAACGATCCAGTGGTTTTTTCACCAAAGCAAAGCATGATTGGTCAACAACACAAAAAATGTTATTTTTGAGCTTGTTTATTGTTTTGCAAAGTCAGGAAAATAATTTTTGTTGATGAAAAAAGTCATAATTTTGACTTAATGGAACTCTTGTTCATTTGAGGGCTGCAGAAAACATGCTGCCTGCTTTGGTTTTAACAGAGAAAAGGTCTATTGGACTCTTCAGTCAACAACTASTATTTCATGTAATGGCATCCTTTCTCACATGTAGATTGGCTCTTAAAATAAGTGCTGTTGTTTGGTTTCTTACCAGTAGTCATTTAGTTTTGATCCTAAAGCACTCATGCTTGATCTGAAASAGTAATTATCATTAACATACTCGTCATCGTCATCATCACAACTAATATAATCTCAGGATGTCTACAAATGAATGTTCATGTACCTGTATGCTTTGGTATAGTCAAAGTCTTGTTTATTRTGAGTAGGTTGAAGATAATCACACTGAATCACACCAATAACCCCAACACCAAGATTATTTGCCTGAAAAATAATGACATTACATGTATTATCACCATAAATATGTAACTCAAATCAACTCATGTTTTGTAACATAATCATATGCAGAATAAATACAGTGATTTCTGCTCAATGTATTCCAAAACCGCAAAGAAATGMTGCTAATAAAACCCTGGTAAGCAGCTTTATAATATGACAATTTGAAACATAATTGCTTTTTAATGAAGTTTTTGACCATACAGAGTTTCTAGAGTCACTCTGAAAACTAGATATTAACTACTTTTGAACAACAATAGAATGACCAAGAATTTTTATTTTCAGTCTTGGAATATACTCTCATGTATCTATAGTCAGTATTGAATGTTTTMATGAAACCATTTCTTACCTTCAACTGGTAACCCACACGAACATAAGGCTTGATCAGTCTATTGCGATGATACATCATTATGCCATAATGATTCTTGTTCTGACTGAACCCAAATGTCACTTTAATTGGTCTCGCCTTAGGYAACAAATTAAGGGAATCAACAGACAATGGTCATAGACTGATATCTATAAATCACAAAATCTAATTTAACTATTCAACATTTAATGCAGGCATGGTTTACAATTTTCAAATGGAAAATGAAGTTACTTCAAAAATCCATTTGCAATCCATTTCCGTCTGTCGGCTTTAAGTTCTATTCTTAAAATATGTCCATAGAGTAGAAAGGGATAATAAGAGTAAGTATTCGCTTATATTACAATGTAAGCTCTATATTTTCAAACATGAACAAAAGCTTGCAATGGATGCCAGTTAAACATTGCCATATAATGGACTGAAACTGAAACAATATTGCTCAATTACTGTGCTTCAGTATCAATCCTTTTCAGTTTGCCAATGAAAAATGCTTGGTTGGAGACAAATGCATCTCTGATTTGATTGGTTAAAAATTTTCCATGTGACCTCAGTATGCATAAATCGCAAGACCCAAATTTTGGGTATTTCGGCATAGTCTCCAACCTTTTATTTTTTGTTGGGAAACAGAGAAGGATCTGGGTACAAGAATGTATTCTGWCTTCACTAAATAATCAAGGATACAACTCCCTGTGGTTTGTAAGTATCTACTTCTGTTTTGCTAAGGCTTTTAGCAATAACTGTAGTCTTGACTTTGGAACCTCTCAACATGATTTGCATTCTTGGTTTGAGGTACAAAATAGAACAGTAYGCCTAGAAATAACAATAAATTACATTAAAAGGAGAATCTGTAGTATCGAAACAATAGGAATACAGTAAAAAACTGGAAATTCATGATTTTTTTGTTGACCACCACCTGGATTTCTCCTTACATTTTTACCAAATTTTGAGAATCTTCGATCAATAATAATTCCGCAAGCAAATGCTCTACAATCCTAATTTTTTTTCAAACTATGTAGTTTTTTATCATTTTTTTAATTTCGAGTAAAATAAAATTGTGATAATGTAACTGAAACCCAAGAATTTATTGTAGTTAGTGGCTAGAGTAACCTTTGAGCTATAAAAGCCTTACTATTATCATCATTATCGTCATCATTAGAATTAGTACTAATAAAAAGTAAAATTATGTTTGTGGAGGAAATGAGGATACATCAGCCTCCTTTTTTCACTTTTTGGTCTTCCTGTGTTGATAAGAACTGGCACTAGGCAGTAGCTTTTTGCCAGAGTAAAGTTGACTGCAGAGACTAAGATCATATCTTACCCGAAGAGAGTAGTCAGACTCTGGTATATGATACTGTCTCTCTTGACGCTTATACTTATAACTGTCAAGTTCCACGTCGTCTGGAATCCTTATATCATTGTAATATGTTTTGAAGTCAAACTCGTATTTTCCTTCCYGTGTCCTGCGCATATTGTTGATTACTATTCTGGTTCCMGTSAGGCTTTTRATCTTATTAAACTGACCCATGATATCTACGTTGGATCTGAACAAGCTGTATTTCAAGATATCTTGCAAGGCTCTGTCTCCATCAGAACGCTCRACCATATTTGTTAATGTGTTAAGGAAAAAAATAATCATTACMACTAATTATTAATGGCCATTTGCATATATAATAATCATATGCGTCAAGTATAATACACACCTTGCTATCCCAGACACTTAGCTATAGTTCGGTTATTTGTATAATATAATGAAATAATTTCTACTGTACTTTGTGTCAATGAATCTGATTTTTTTTTCTCACATCATTGCAATATGCATGATTTTAAAGATAAATAATAAGATATRTACATATATGAAAATCACTTCGCCTCTGGGAGCATGTTTAACGAAGTGTGTCTCAATTACCGTTCTGCACTTAATATTTAAAAAYATAACAATAATAAATATTAGAGAAATAACATTTTAAAATAGGAATAAGACTTGAGTGAGGTTTCTYTTGTGCTATACATGTAGTTTACTTTTATTCCACATTTAATTAATTATCCATGAAWTACCTACATTTTACACTTTCCAAAACATTGCAATGATTTCCTTCGCTTCTTTCATACTCTCTCTACATTATGAGTGTCTTTATCCAATCGATCATATCGAACATGGATATCCATTTTTTCTATATTTCAATAAATCCATAAATTGATCTAAATAAATCTAATGTAATTTAATTAATTAATAATTAATTAATTTAATTTTAATCTAATTTGTTGTGATAGCGTTTTGATTGGGGCCAGCATGTCTTTATCGACATTGGTCTGCCTCGTGTCRCACATGGTCTAGGCTTGTGGGCCTTCACACTCGATTCCCATTTCGCCMAAGTCATGGCAGCCTTGGCAGGTTCCGAGTTTTCTTTTTTTTTGGTAGACATTTTAGTTGATGAGTATAATGATAGAACAATATTAAACGAGTGACTGTAAACGCGCGTTCGTCGAACGATAAGAAACTATAAGTGATATTCGATCCCTACGCTCGCTCCCGGATAATTAAAAAGCATGGCATTACATAGTTATCCATTAMCCTAAGTTATACAATAATAACATCACCTAAATAAATTATCAATGGCTGAAAACACCATAAAACGATAAAATACACTACACTGTCTGGAATTTCAAATACCAAATAGTCACGCAAGGATTTAAATAAGCTTGAATTTTCCTCGTTCGATYGTAAAGCAATACAACACGAATTTTCGCGGCAATTTCAAGTTTGGCGCGAAACAAAACATGGCGKCGACGTGTACACGAACTACTCAAACTTCATTCGCTATTACAACTCTAAAAGGATATTATCTTCCGCATCCCAAGAAACAATCGGGACTAAAATAGTCTGAGCTTTCACTGTTTCTAGGTAAGTTTGGGATAAGAACCCTACGCTACGAGATTCTTTGTGCTTTGTGAAGACGATTGCATCTTTACCCAGACGCATTGAGCCAGACTTGAACCCGTTGCCGTAGTGTCCCACCGGCAAATGATCATTTTTAGCAACCTAAAACGTAAAAAGCGATTATATTTCCTAAATAAGCTTGAAAATTAAGTGATGTATTAGAACATGTGATGGCTATTCAGGGAACGTTCTTCATGGAAATTTGGATTCTCGTACGCGCGGAAGATGCACGCGAATCTTTGCTGAAGTTTATTGAAATCCTTACCTTTTCGCAGAATCCAAAACTGAAACACAATAATATCAATAGTTAGCAATTAAAATATGAATTTTAGTACGTTTCCAAGACATTTTTACCTAAGCATTTTGTGAAGTTTCAGCGAGTCCATACCAGCTCCGTTATCTGTGAACGTCAGACATTGCTCAAAGCCGTATCGTTCGATGTCAATCCAGAGCTGGCTTGCATCTACATCGGGATCATATGCATTGTCTACAAACAGAATAACATCAATTAAGTATCTTCACAGTTAYAACAACAGTTAATTGAATTGAGTACCTATCAGCTCGGCGATTGCTGAGAACGGCCAAGTGTGACTAGTTGAGTTAGTGTGCAAATACTTCGGGCTCAGCTGAAACGAAACGAATTTAGAAAGTCTAGAATCGAACGGTCTTCTACAACTAAAATTCAAAGAATAAGTCTAGAGAAGCGTCGAATTTCCTACCGTGCTTAAACGGACTCCTTGTTCCCCTGGAATCAGGTTGATGTGAGCCATTTTAAGAGGAAATTCAGAGTGACAGTTACGACAACAACACAACGAATACCMACAAGAACTACAATCTTCACGCGTACAAAAAGACTCGGTGCGAACGTTCCGTCTTACAAGAATTTCATGAGGCGGAGTTTGACAAAATGATTGGTAGCTGTCAAATCCGTCCAATSAAAATTAGCACAGGGAATGATTGACAGGGGCGTGCAAGATAAACTACCCAATCAAAAACCTCGTTGTAAARATGCAYTTTGAGTTTTCCCCGGAAATCTTTCCTCAGATCTTCTTTGAACCAATCATATTGCTTCTTCTAAAATTTCGGACAYGTGATTGGTTGGAAAAAGCGAGAGGAGGCGGTCTTCAGTATTTTCAGTACATAACGTGATCGGTATTTCCTGTTTATCAAACGTTTCACGATTTKATTGGTTGATTGGTGGGGGATTTCATCACTCACTTGAAACTACCATCGTGCATAGCGGTATGCTGAAAAAAATTGTTGAAGACCGCAATGSTTTTTGGGCACAGAAAGCATGACGCCCGGAAACTGGGTTCGAAACAACGCAAAAGAAGGCAAAAAGCGCGGGAATTTCGAATATCTATCTCATAAAATTCAGGCAAAATGTTCCTGCTAAAATGCTACTATTTAAAATGCTATTATTCTTTTTTTTATTTTTGTTAATTAGAAATGTTTTGTGAAAAAAAAAGCAAATGTCTTTGCGTATTTCGCTTGTTGTCCAGATTTATCGACGCAACCATATTTTCCTAAATTCCTTTTTCCTTGTTGACGGGTAGACAAATTTCCCCCTTTTATGCAMCAAACTAAAAATAACTGTAGTATTACTGAGACGCTGTGAAAATGAACTTATATTAAATCAACGCATTTTCCATCACATTTGAGTTATTTTCTTTAATTCTATCCACCCGATTCTCCGACTGTCCTGTCGTTTTGAGGTAGACATGGTCGAACAGCCAAGGTTACAGAACTTTTTAAATACAGCAGCTCAATTATTATTCAGAACCCATCCTGACACCGATGTGCCGCGTTTGGAAGAAGCCTGAAATTGGTGCAACGACCGGTCGTTTATGAAGAGGTTGCCACGTTTGAATATCATTAGCGTGAATGCAGTCAGAWGTCTTTTTCGAAAGGGTAAGGAAAAATAGAAGATCCAACTGCAATCAGGCTAAATGCTATGTTTGAGATCAATTAAGTTCTAAGTATTTCAGACTAAACTCAAGTGTCACTTTATCGTCTGTCTGTAGGCATCGTTGTTGCATCGTTTATCCAGTAAATCGTTTTCATAATCTTGGTAGATTGAAGAGGCAGTCAGACAGACAGAARCATAAGTACATTTATGCAGTCTACCATCGATAAAACAGAGTGTCATTCCTTGAGTCAAGCAGCCATTTCCAATTTTCAATTTCCATTGACATATACATGTGCTTGATACGAAGAAACAAGTCACATGACGAGTAAGTKTTAATTGTCTAATGATTGACAGCTATTGTTTAGGATTCAGGCTTGATGGTAACACCTCTTCGTATTTGTCCCCACCCAATCAACCTGCCAAAAAATAAATGTAGATATTAGGGAGAGAACAGTTAATTGACAAACAGCTATTTCAATATGCTTTGTTGGTCGTTCTATTGCCATTCAAAAGGAGTTTGTATGGTTTCAGAGTGAGTATACCAGCTTCAAACGTTCAAAACAATCAATGGAAAGCAATTACGTCTAGAACTGTAACTTTGCAGCGCATCTAAGGTGGAGTTTGATAGCAACAATGCATTGCAGTCTTGTAAGATCGATACAGTATTTTTCGTTACGAATATACGTCGCAGCGGCCATTATGGTTGAACTTCAGCAAAGAATTTCTCATTAGTATCAAATTTTCATTTAACCAGCATGACCACCGGTCTGTTGTCTTTGGAATTGCATGCAAATGATTGAAAACGAGCAATTCAGTATTCGACGTTTTCTGAAATAGCTCTATTCACATTAACAATCACACGGGCGTGGTTGTGCCAGGGGTCCCCCCTCCCCTCTTTCCTTGGCAACAGTTTGTTTGGCGTGAATTAAAAAACAATACTCTATCAGTTTTGCAGACAAATGGCCTTCTACACAGTCTTGAAAACGCAAAACAAAGCTGGCAACCACTCCTCACAAAATGGCCAAGGAAAAAGTAGTRAAGGAGTTTGAACATCTACCTCCAATGTTTCTCTACTCTTCTACTTAGAGCAATCTTTTCTCCGATCTCTGTACAGACTGGCTGAGTTAAGATAATCTTGGCTAAATCGGCCTTGACAGCAATGACACGACCACCAGTAGATAATGAACCAATGTTTACCATAAGAACTTCATTCTTTGTTAATTTTGTAACCTTGGAAAATAGGAAAATTAATAAATAAATGAATTCATTTTTTGTTCAATTTGCTTGAATATGACCTTGTTTGCAGCCAGAATTTTCCGTGATAACATAAAATCTTTAGAATATTCTGGACGCAATTTAACAGTTGTGTAAAAAGATAAATTTAAGACKAAGGATTAACGTCCGAAACGTCAGTAAGTTATTTCACCTACTTTTTTACGGTGTTAAGTTTATCATTTTACACAACTGTTTCTTTAGAAACACCGACGTAGCTCACACTAGTCTACCGCTAGTTCCCACCATGGATGCAATTTATGCCACTTTACACAGAGACAAGATGGACTACAGTCAACTCTCGCTATTACGGACACCCTCGTGACCGTAATTTAGTGTCCGAAGTAGCGAGAGTCCGTAATAACGGGAGTCTCTTTCAGTCATTTCTTTGTACTTTTCTCCGGGGATTCAGTATTTCCTGTCCGTAATATAGAGGCGTCCGTAATAGCGGAGTGCCCGTAAATCGAGAGTTGGCTGTAGTAGTGAAGTCATGTTTTTTTTTTAGCTTGTTATTTACACACTTATTCAAGAAGTATTCTAGGATTAGGACAGCTAAAGTGAAACACCCTGATTTGTCGCTAGTTGCTTCTCTCTTGGCACGCAATGCACCATGGGACGAAGGAAAAAAGCAATTAGTTTCACTTTTTGTCTCGCTCCTTCCCTTGATGCATTGCGTATGCGAGAGAAAAGACTAGGGACAAGGAACAATGACAAGGGACAACTGGGAAAGCCAGCAGTTAGGTAACTTTGGGAACAGATAAAACATATGGAGGTCCTCTGGTACCAGTTTAAAGGAGAAAAAAAGGATTGTGTAAGTTAGAAATGTACTCACCTTTGCTCCTTTTTTATCTCCCTCAGTTCGCACACCCAGCAGTCTCCTCAAGAGAAAGTAGCTGATCTCAAGTTCTGTGTAAATTTCAGGAAGAGCACCTACAGCACCAAGGACCTAAAGAAAACACACAGGTATTTGAAAATGCAACTAATAGAAATAAACTAGTGCTGTTCAACTGATGTAGCATTAAGGGCAGCCTAAAGCACCATGGTTAAATGCCATCCATTGTTAGTTTTAATTTAAGTTTGGAAACAAAAATACATGTAATATAAGCAAAAAACATACTCTTTATCATTCCTTATATTCTATGAATGAAGATTTAAAACCATATTTTCATATATGAATAAAGCTAAAACATAACTTCTTCGAATAATGGYTGACAATGGCTCTTTGAGATCAAAATAAAACAAACTACAAACCTTTAAATATTATTTTAAATTTGCAGCTAGGAGAATTCATAATAATTAAATTATTAAAGTCAAAGTTGTGGCCAGTCGAGTTAGTATGTTGAGCATATTKTTATTACCATTGTATTTTAAACAATTTACTAACATTATTAATGATGTAGAGCAYCCGTTCAGGCATTTCTTACAATTTAATACAGGTTCTAAATACAATCTKAGGTCAGTGTMCAAAATAAGAGTTCCTTTATCGAAAACTAAGAGACATGARCAATCTTTTTTAGTCYGGGGTTGCAAATGCTTATACAGAATCTTTTTTGCTGTACTAATTTTGTAAACGATTTTCATATTTCTGAGCATAATGTACATATTTTAGAGTTTATCATATATTATATATATTTACATTTGTAATATAGTCGTATTTCTTTGCAATGACTGTAATAAAGTTTATTATTAAACATAAAGGTAGTGTCAAAATACATGTTTTTAAACTACATTTTACAGACCTGCCCGACCATTCTGTCTGCTCTACATAATGTTGGGTCAATTTTGGTTCCAACACCTGTATAAAAAAAAACAAACAAACGCACACCATGTTAAGCATACTTTAATAAGCAAAGTTTAATGTTCTTTAATGATGTCCCACCTATTAAGCCACCAGGCACTGCATAATGTAAGTCATTTTGTTCAGCAAAAAGAGAAACTATACGCGAGTAGATGGGACGGCATTGAAGTTTGCCTTCATTGTCCTTGGATACAATTCCTGGTCTAACTTCTATTTCCTGGCCAACCTGGAAATCAAATTTAACAATGATATGATCATACAAGAAACACTTGGCATCTTTCATTACATAACTATTTAATAATAATAATTTAATAATTTATATAGCGCTATTTAGCAATGTCAGATCAACAGCGCTTTACAATCGTTCAAATGTTAAAACTATTTACAATGTGTCATATATACAGAATAAGAAATAAAATTGAAGAAAAATAAGAAGTAATTAAAGAGAGAGAAAGAGACAAAATAGAAATATGAATTCAAATTACAAAAAAGCCATCTTGAATAAATGATGATGATGATACAAGTAGACATAGCAAAGATTATGCTTGTTGAAAGTTAAAGGTCCATGGTCTACCAGAATGCATTGCCGTCATGTTTTCAATTTTTCATATACATGAGGCTTCCTCGGGAACCCAGGGGTAATCTTCTGTCGTTCATTCCTCCCAGAAAAAATACACCTGTACCGGCTGCCATTTTGAATTTCGAATTAAGAACAAGGTCTAACAGACTTTGTGCCCAGGGGTATTTTTTCTGGGACTGATCAGTAACGAATGCCAGTAGATTACCCCTGGGTTCCCGAGAATGGTAATGAGGTGGAAAATGAGGTGTAATGTATGTATACTAACCTTTAAGACACCTCTGAGGATACTTCCACCAGCTACACCACCCTTTAAATCTTCAACCTCACAGCCTGGCTTATTGACATCAAAAGATCTAATGACTGAGAGAGAACTATAAGTTAGACAAAAGATGCTATTGATGCTTCAGAATAGATATCGCTTGCCAAGTTTCAAACATTTTCTATCTCTTTTTATGTTACATAGTTTTAGTGTAAAGTCAATTCAGTTGTAAAGACATATAAGACGACATTAAGTAGTATATAAAATATGAGTGGGAGACCTTTATGGGCATTTAAAACTGCGAAATGCAAGTGAACAGTTTTAAAAATCAGGTTAGATACTAATATTTTATAATTCTTATCAAATTCCAACATATGATTAAGCATATTTTGCAAAAAACTTCAGGATAAAATATTGTTTTCAAGAGAAAATTGAAGTTAAAGTCATATGCAAATCAGGACAAATCTCTTGCACATATAAAGATGCGGTCACGGCAATGATTTTCCATTGTGTTTACCTTATGAATTATGCATGAATTTGATAAGTTACATAATTTTATTGTTAAGTCAATTCTATGAACCATGTTCAGTTCAGACAACATTTTAATGTTCTAAAATGGTATTGAAGTTATGTATTTTCAACAATACCTATAAGTCTTGGTTGTGATGTGAAGTCTCTTAAAGGRACTGGTATATTTCTACAGATGTAGTCACAGATAACTTCAATGTTGTATTTCAGCTGTGCTGATATTGGTATTACAGGGGCTCCTTCTGCTATTGTACCTAAAAAATATAAATAAATAATAAATAATAAATAATAATAATGCTATTTATATAGCGCTTATCCAATTCTGTTCTAAGCGCTTTAAAACTACATGACAACTACAAAACACATGAGAGTCTTGGTAGACTGTGAGTTTGAGTTGGCGCATCTGGCTGCCGCTGCACAGTCCGTCCAAGATCTCAAACTAAAAAAGCACAACAACCAGATTACATCACAGTAAACAAGTCAAATGTTTTTTGCATGATGCCCGGTGGCTTAACCAAAGAAAATGATACAAAATGCTTAAAAACTGTGACTCCTAAAACTCACARCATTTTCTGACTTGTCAAGAGACCACTATGTTTCTTATAGCTAGATTTCAATCATTTTCTCAAGGATCAAATAACWAAAGACCAGCAGACATGTTGGTGCTATGTTCAAGACATTTTCACTCTGGTCAATATTACTCAATTCTGGATCATATTCAACATATGAAAAATACTAGCTTTGGTTGAGTGAAAAAGGAGAGCCCGCAAACTAGGAAAATATTTCATGTTTATAGGACAATGGGCACCTTTATCAACCCTTTAGCAATAAAATTACAGGGTTTTTTTTAGATTTTTGTCTTTATCCTCAAACTAAAAATTAACTTTTCTTAAAAAACTCATACATAATTAATGAGCTACTAGGCCAATAGAATGAGCCTATTTGGTCACATGCATGGACCTTTATATCTGATAAAACACTCCTTATTAGTATTCTTTATACAAAGAATACTAATAAGGGTGACCTTTATCAGATATAAAGGTCCATGACCCTAGCAAAGGTCTCAGGTTTGAAACCTGATCATTGACCAATGCAGGATGTCAACCGATTTCAGTGAACAACCAAGAGCGCTTCAGTTTGCCCCATTTATCTCTGAACATATTTGTATGGCAATTTCTCCAAGAATTTTAACGGATTTGAGTTTCAAATTAGTGTTAGAGTTTTTTAAGCCGTTTAAAACACTCGAGATCGTGTTTTAAACTATACTTAATTTCATTTCTTTTTTATGTTTACCTTGGACAAACTTAAGAATCTGTTCATATTGTTCTTTGGCTTGTGTTTCCTTGACTAAATCAATTTTATTTTGTAGAATCAGGATGTGTTTTAGTTTCATGATTTCAATAGCTGCCAAATGTTCTGATGTTTGAGGCTGCGGACAAGACTCATTTCCAGCTGTTGACAAAAATACAAGTGTTACCATAACATAGTGTCTCCTTACCCCTCCCTGGAAAGCATCTTTAGTCACTAGCGTCATGGTAACTGATTATTGAAATGAATGTGGTATGCTTCATTTTAATGTAAATAAACAGAATTTGTGATAGAAAAATGTGCCAAAGATTGGACTTAAGCCAGTGACCTCAAACATTCTAGATGAACCACAACTATCAATTGTGCCCCTGCTATTATATTTTATGGACAGTTACAAGGTTGAATCTGCAATAAACTTTTTTTTAGTCTTTTTTTCAGCAAGAAATTTGAAATTTCACTTGTAGAAACCCACAATTAATATAACTTAAAAGTCATTTATCTAAACTCTTCTAAATACCCACAAAACTATCCYGTTACTAATTTCTAATGGTTGACCCTTGCAAACCCAAAGAGCATTGATTGTAATTGGCTGGCTTTAATCCAGAAAGAGACTAAATAACTAAGTATAAAGAATAGAGTTTATTGTTCTAGCCAGCCAATCATGAGACATTTATTAAGAGCTTTGAGACTAAAGTATGAATTTACTGACCAATCAAAAGAAGAGCTGCATCCATGACAGCTGCACCGTTCAACATTGTTGCCATAAGAATATCGTGACCAGGACAGTCAACAAATGATACATGTCTATAGAAAAATAATAAATAATAGTTAATAATTAGGAAGTTRTCCTTCAGTAGMATTATGAGTTAAAATGAGAGTTGAKGGYYGTACACTACTGTYGAAAGTCAAATAAGTATTTTTTGAAAAGCTTTCGCCAGGCGCCAGCATCATCAGGCCACAATAATATAATACAAAAGTAAAASTGATAGTTAATAATATTACATGATAACAATGGCAGACTCATTAAGTTAATGTTTTTTCACAGTAATTGTTCTGAAATGAGAAGCTCCAGAGTGAAAGCTTTGCAATAATGAATGAACAAGATGCTAGTGCAGGGCTCGAAATAACGGCCAGACATATGCAGGACAAGATGTCCTTCCAAATTCATTTTTGGAAGGTCATGTTGAGTTTTGAAAGGACAAAAAATTTATTATACTGTTATTTTCTTTTCATTCATAGGTTTTTGTATTCAGAAAGATCGACAAGCATTTAATGGATGTAAACTAGATATTTTAAGGGAATTGAGAATTGATTTGTCTAAAATGTGGCAGGTCAATCTGTCCTTTCAAAACCCGATTTGGCTGGTCATCTAGCGAATTTGGAAGGACATTGTCCTTTGACCGGCCATTATTTTGAGCCCTGTAGTCGTGTGTAGAACAATTATTGTTATGTGAATTGGTTTTTACCTCATGAGTCTGAATTTTCCAGGACAGTTTGGTCTGTCACAAGGAAAGGAGTCTTCTTT